GTTGCCTCTTAGCTACCAAGCAAGCGACTGAGCCCTTGAGGCGTGTTCACATACGCGACTGCGCAGTGGAAGAAGAACTGCGAGGTAGAAGGAACGGCAACAGGAAACACGTGAGGCGTGTATGCGCTCATGGTGGTGTGAATGGGTGATGTGCACGCGCACCAAGATGCGCTCAGGTACAATGAAACAGTGCTTGTGATGTTATCAAAGTGTATGGGGGAAGGGAGGCGTACCTATGCAACAGCCTAGCTATAAAAGCAGCACAGATTTCAGACAACAAAATATCAATATGCGTACTTAAACTGTCCCTAAGTTTAAATAGCACTTAACAATACTACAGGTTAACTAACGTGCCCAAATGCCAGCCTTACTGTAGTGAACGTCTGCTCGTATTGAGAGGGTAGTGGAAAGTCCGAACTTCTTGGGTCTTTACCAGAGTTGGGGACGTCCGTCTGGTTCCACTGTGTGCAGAGAGTCCTCTTGGTTCCGAAAGTCCGTTTCGGGAGGAAAAGTCTCTGACTGTAGATGTGCCGGTTCACACGAATACCGTTAGAAGGAATCCTGTCGCTTCTAAACTTTTGGTTTAACTGCTTTGGTCGCAGCGCTACGTTACTTGTGTAACTTTTAATGTAAACTTTTAAGATTTCAGACAACAAAATTCAATAACACTCACAGTGTTTTCAATGTGCACAATGGGCAATGGTGTCTACAATGGCGCGTTGGTTCTTAGTCTTCTGAGACGAGCAGGTTTCTCTTTTCATCACGGGTCCTACGGAGCTAAAGTCCTGAACAGAGAGAATGAAATTGGGGCTGACCCCCAATTTAAAGGTTGCAGAGGTTACTGATCGTGACGTATGTGGGGTTACCGGGAACAGTGGAATTACGGGAGTTAGAGTCCTTGAAAGGACTGTTGTAGTACCTACACAGAGTAGAAGATACAGAGAACAGGGAGAGAGGATGGAAATCAATGATTCGCTGTGGCAACCCCTGAAAAAGGGACAGAGCCGAAAGAAGAAGAAGAAGAAGAAAAAGAAGTTTTCACCCAACACTAACAAAAGTAAGAAATAATGTTCTTTCCAGAGAATGTTGTTTTGCCTCCTGTCATTCAAACTGTTTGGAGGAAAAAGGTGTTGCCTATCACACATAAATGCTGGGAGCATTTTCTAACCTTTTTTTTTTCAGGGAAATTGGTTCTGAGAATTAATTTACTGAGAATTATGAGGTTGTTTGGTGTAAATAAGTCCAAATTGAGAGGCGGTCTTAGATACAACAAGTCCCTGCTCCTTAACTGCCCAGCCTAAAAATAAATTCCAGTGAAAACTGCAATAAAAATCACAGAGCATAAAGGTCAACCTCTGCTACATTCTATTTATGATGAGAAAGTAATAAACCAAGATCACAGGATCCTCAATGACCCAAAACACACGACCTCCATCAGGAATATGAACTTTCACCATCCGGAAAATGTTTCACAGCCAGCTGATATTACAGTGACCAGACTCTTTGTACCACTATTATCAGATTACACTCTTACAGCTAATCAGCAGACACTCCATTCCTCAGCCTGAAATGCATTTATGACCTACGGTTTTTATAAGCTAGTTTTTTTAAACCTATTTTCAAGTAGGTGTTTGTTTGTTTTATAGATTTTTTTATTGGAATATTTGTGCAGTTCAATATGTGTAAACAGCTTTTATACTTCATTTTATGCCTAATTAAATCTGTTTTCTATTGCAACTTCTTAATAATGTTCATATTTTAAGTAATGGTAAATACAACTGAAATGGTTACTTTATTAGTTAATGAATTTAAAAAAAGATCTACCTTTTTGTATATACTTCACAGAGCTGTATCTTCTAAATATCTAAATACTTAAAGCTACAGTATTTAGAATATACGATAAAGCTAAAAGGCCCCAAAATCACTCCACTGTGGGGCCACATTTAGAGACAAACTTGTGTTTAGACTCATTTATACTATAAGTCTCTGAAGACTGGGATTTAAAAATAGAAATGACTAAAAAATCACATACTTATATACAAAATGTTTATTTGCAAAATAAATAAAATATTTAAATAGTGAGGGTTATTCTTTAAGGTGGCCATGCCCTGACTGTATATGTTGTCTCTTTTTGTGTTTCTGGCATTCAAGAGTAGCCTCAATGCAGATGAACTTCAAATGTCCTACCACAAGGACTAAGATGAGTCTTTGTATCATCCTTAGTTTGTTTTTTGTTTACATCACCCACTGTCACCTTTATCATCTTGGTCCACGACTGAAAAAGTCAGCCTAATAACATGACTACGTGTTGAATGTTTAAGCAGCCTCTTCATCCCCTCAAAGGGTTTCCGTCCTCTGGTCACATGACATGAGGCGGAGAGTCCTTTTTAATCAGGTCAGAGCATCTGTTACTGTAGGTCAAGAGATCCAGCACTGATCTGGGGGCTCCCTTGGCAACCTGTCACACAGCAGTAGGTGAGCTCTAACTGAGACCTGTACTGCCAGCAGGTCACTCCTGTCTTGCTACAGGTCACTTTAATCAAGTTTCACCGGAACAAACAGGAATCGGTTACGGTTACAAAGGTAGTAAATAAATTAAAGATGCCCACAAAAAAGAAAAAAATAGACCAGGAGGAAACCAAAGCCGAAGATGACGACGAATCCGAGGATCAGGAACTAAAGCTGAAAAAGAAGAGTAAGCCAGTGAGGAAGAAGAAATCCAGAGCCAGTGATGAGGACAGAAAAGACTCTGACACATCAGGGCCAGATGTAAGGAGTTCCACGAGTAAGGGAGAAGATAGAGTAAAGCTCAAGAAGAAGAAGAAGAAGAAGAAGAAAGCCAAGGAAGAGGGTGAGGATGAGCTGAGCAATGATTCACACGACACGGACAATGAAAATAACAACAATATCAACAGTAAGAAACAAAGAGGAAGACTCCCTGATGTGATTGAGACGACGAAGAACGGTTTAAAGAAGTCTTTAGACAAATACAAAATGGGTAAGGACAAAAAATCCAAGAAGAATTCCGAGGAGGATTCAGGTGCTGAGGAAGATGAGGGTAAGAAGAAGAAAAACAAGAAGAAGAAGGGCGGTGACAGTGATGATGACACGAAGAAAACCAAAGGCAAGAAGAAGAAGAAGGTTGAAGACTATGTGGAAATCTATGAGAATGAGCTGCGGAACTATGAGCCAGAAAAAGTGGAGAACTATGAGGATGAGTATCACAAAAAGAAAGGTAATTACAAAACATCTTCAACTCAAACTGTGTTACTGAGCTACAAAAATGTTATTTAACTGCAACAGAAATACAATAAATAGGAATTAAAATGAACTGTCTGTTAGAGAAGTCACCTGACACCCAGAAGAGAGGGGAATCCTTGACCTCAGATACTGTGGTAACGAACACATGCTTGAGTTTGATGGTAACGTTAGACGGCGTGAAGATGTATCCATGTGTCATTAGTGTCGTCCTCATCCTGACATATGACACTTGTCACTCACCAAACTGTACTCAGACACAGGCTTGTGTCTCACCGTCACATCTGAAAAGTCTTAATTACAAAACTCCTTATTTCGGAACTTGGTCTTTTCAAATATTAACATTTAACCTTCTCAGATTTTACTTAAAATTCATACCAAATTACTGTTTGTACATGTGTTCTTACTGTCAAATGGTTTAAATTTGTAATTGAATTAATCCTGATTTATCATAATAATAAATATGGTAATCACAATTAATTGAGATAAAACAATTTCAAAATATGAAAGGTTTTAAAACCTCATGACCAATTGTTAAAACATGCACACTTGGTGTGAGCTCAAATTGTTTCAGGAGAACAAAGTCAAACATAAATTTAAAAAAACATAGTCGCCTGAGATAAGATAATATATGGGGAAGGTGGGGACAAGATAAGACACTAAGACACACCACAACACTAATCACTGTACAGACTGGAAGAATTTTTTTTCTATTTTTTTTTAACAGTAATTTAGTGCTGTATCCTTTCTCCTTTAATCACAGCTATGATCTACAGACTAAAAAATGTTTAATTTGTTCACAAACAAAATCAGTGCATTGCATTTATGTATACTGCTATAAATATAAGTATAATATTCATTTCTTATCTATTTATTTTTTAGTTAGCGATGGCTTAGTATACATTAGGGTTTTGGCACATTGTTCTTCAGTGTTTACTACAAATTCACTGAGTAAACTGAAACCTCACCCTCTGCTGGCTCCAAGTCCTGCTGTGGATCAGCTGCTGTCAGCCAAGGCTTCTCTGGCCACTTGCCTTCTCTGTAATCTGCGACCAGGTCCTTGTTTGTAGTTTTATCCTTCTGTCTCATTTAGCAGGTGCAGCAGGTGTATTTTTGCTTCTTTTCGGTTTCAAGGTTTTCTCTCAGGCTCATTTTCCTGCTGTGTCCCTGTGCAATGCCTTTAATCCCGCATTGCCCATAGCAGCTGCATCACCAGTGTGTCAATGTGCTGCGAGAACTTTAATGTGTGTGAATTGGTGAAGAGTGTATAGTGTAAACACGTGTGGAGTGTTCACAATATAGACAGTTAACTAACGTGTTTTTTCCCCTCTTTTTTTTCTTTATTATTTAACATATCCATTTTACCGTCCAGTCTATGAAGTGGTGACAATCACTGGCGATGAGAGAGGAGCAGGAACTGATGCTAATGTGTTTGTCACCCTGTTTGGAGAATATGGCATCACTCCCAAAGTTCACCTGGCCAGCAAGTGAGTCACCCTCAGATTATCTGTACAATCAGAAGTTGAAATCATGTTGAAGTTTTGTTGTTGTACATTGACCTAAAACTTTGTTGTTGTTGTTTTTTTTTCTTTTCCAACATGCAGCACGGAAAAAAAGTATTTTTCTCTTCCATTACAGACAATTCTTTGTTTTTTATTGTTCTTCTTTTCTGCAGAGATCTTGTTCTATTTCTGAATTTTACTGTTTTTGCAATTGATCAAAAAATTGTTTTTGTTTGTTTGTTATATAGGAGTCGTACAGCTTTTGAGAGGGCCAAAACGGATGTGTTCAGGATCAGAACCCACAATGTAGGGCCGATTAAAAAGATAAGGTACATTTCACTCTGTATCGTCTAATTTTCTTTATTTGTTGTAAATACTTTTTGACTTATTTTCTAAAAAAGTAGGGACGTCCAATATATTAATATTTTGCCGATATGCTTAAATTCCTATCTCAGTATCCACTGATTGATTTATGCAGCCGTTTGAGTTAAAGTCAGGGGACACATTTCTTTGTGTGCAGTGTCGTACTGTGTCGCAATCACAAATACTGTGCACTACACAAATAATCGTTTCACTTTCACTTCAAAACTATTTTCAGGTTTTATCATCTGGGCCAAACCCAAACATTGCATTATTGGGTTTGCATTATCGAAGGAAAAACCGATAATCATTCTTACCGATATCATATAATTAAGCTAATATCGGCCGTTATTATCATACTGTATATCCCTATAAAAGCAATCACTTGGTTGTGAAATACAATTGTAGCACATGTACAATATATTAAACAGACTTCAACAAAGACCAGGATTTTTTAATCTGGATCCTACATTTGGTCTATTTTCTTTTTCCTAATCGAAACCTGTCCTGTGGTTCTAGGATTGAACATGACAACACTGGAATGAGCGCCAGCTGGTTTCTGGACAGAGTGATGATAACAGATGTAATCAGGCCTCACCTGAGGTACTACTTTGCATGTAACAACTGGCTGAGTAAGACGGAGGGAGACGGCCTTTATACCCGGGACCTGCTGGGCTCCATGGACGCCATGGACATGCCCAAATGTATAAATATTTACATATATACACACAAAAACTATAAATACGTACTTGATCATGATTGCAGCCATATATTAATATTGGTTTTCTAAATTTGTACCCATAACAGATAACAAGTACATAGTGAGCGTTTTTACTGCAGATATGAAAGGCAGCGGAACAGACGCTGATGTTTACATTAATATCTTTGGGGAGTTAGGAGACACAGGTAAATAAACCTTTTCTTTTTTTTTTAAATCAAGGCAAATCAAAAGTTTTTATATTTTCTGAATACTTAATTAGTTGTAATACCCTTTTTACTGTAATAATACAGTCAGAACAATATTGCAGACAGAGCCACCTAATATCAATGATTAAATCTGGATTTTAAGGAAAAATTTGATCACTTTAACTTAATTGTCAAAATTATGGTTTAAATTAAAGTTTTTGACCTGTCACCTAAGAAACATTATGGTATGGAACCCCCTCAAGAACAAAACATGTATAGTTGTATTTACTTATTACGTAACATTTTGGTAATACTGCTATCAATTTTATATTTCCTATAAAAATACTATAGTCAATAAAAATATGTTTACATTATAATATTATGATTATATAATATGTTGAAATACACAACGTTATTATTTCAGGTGAAAGGCGGCTGGACAATGACAAGGATAACTTTGAAAAAGGAACAGAGGACAAATTTACCTTTGATGCACCAAATATTGGCAAAGTGAGGAAAATCACCCTTGGTCATAACAACAAAGGCTCCTCAGCAGGATGGTTTGTCGACAAGGTAAATTTCAGCTCTACTTCCCTCCCCTGCAATATTTTATTTTATTTATTTAAGTATCTAATTAAATTTGTGGCATTTTTTGAAGAACAAAAGCCTCAAAGCTAGCAATTGCTACTTAATGTACATTTTCAGCCAGAAGTGTGCCAACTTTTGCATAAAAAGTTTGAAAAAGAGAACAAACTGGTAAACAACAATGTGTTTTTATATAGCGTACCTACCATACACTGTTGACTGTAGATTTCTGGGGATGCATTGAAAACTACAAATACAGAAAAGTTTTACCAAGACATATTATTTAGACCTTTGTGTGAATCCTTAGTTTATTTTTTCTAAGGAAATTCCCATATAATTTATCTTTAATGTTCGACTTACTTCATTCTGTGTGTGTCATCACAGACACATGAGCCCAGTATTTGTCTCAAGTCTCCACCCCTTCAACTTGTCTCCATGCGTCTCTGACGCATACAGTGATTCCATCAAAAAGACGTCATTTGAACTGACTCAGACATGAAGAAGCTAAAGCCCATGCACAGCTGACATACATGTCGTTATTCTAGACTTGTTGTAAAGGGAAACCATGTCCCGTTAAGGGATTACCTTTCACCAAGCGGACAAATACGTAAATTTCCTGTAGGGCCAGTGTCAGCAGAACAAACATTAACAATATTCGTTTGCAGAATGATTTACACTTTCATTTGTACAGTAATATCATATGTAATATTTCCAATTAATCTGTTATTTCATTATATATAATAAACTTAATATAAATAACGATAAATAACTTGTGCATTAATTAATCCCTGATGAAGTTTTGTTGGACTAGAATAGACAGTATCTGCAACATCGTAGAAATTATATACAATAACGCTCCATACTAAGTATTTTTTGTGTATGCATCTGTCTAAACAGGTTGTTTTGGATGATCTGGGAAACAAAATGTTGTATGAATTTCCAGTAAATCGTTGGTTTGCCATCGATGAGGATGACGGGAAGATCCAGAGGGACATCTTAGTCGGGGGGTCTCAGCCAACAGGTGAATACTAATAATAATATCAGTTTATTTTAAGAAAAGGTAGGCAGTACAAGGGCTCTAAAATTATACCAGGTTCAGTGCACAGAGAATCAGTAATATATAATAGCAGCAGCAGAGACAAGGTCACAATCCACATTTCACAGATAATATCACCTGATCTGACCAGCCACTCTCACAGTAATAGTAGGTACTCTATAGATTGAGCTGAGGGTAACAGTGTGACTCAGATGTGACAGGATGAAGCAGGTGCAACTGATGATAGAGCAGGGAAGATTGCAAAAAAGTGAAGACAAATTAGATTTAGTGTGGATCAAAAATCAAGCCAGAAAAAGAAAAGAAAAACATAGAGAACATTGTGACTGATGCAAATCTAATGTAACTTTTCATCTTTTGTGTAAAAGAAGGCCCTCTAGAATCTGTCTCTCATGCTCCTACACTCACAGCCATAAACACCTATTCCTGCCTCCTCACCTCAAAGCTTATCACATATATAGCACATCATTTGTAATGTGGTAAATACCGAAGCCTGGCAGTTTTTGCCTACAGAGAAGGACCTGTTATTTTTCCATGTGTCTGCTGTGACTGATTAAAACCTGCTCCGTGGCTCTGACATTATGTCGTCCATGAACCATGATGACCCACTGGCCCAGCCTCTGGGATCCTGACATGTAACTGTATCCGCCAGGTATTGTGTACAACATCCAGATTGTGACAGGAAACATCCGAGGAGCTGGGACCAACTCCAAGATCCATGTCGTGATGCACGGCTCAAAAGGCATGAAGAACAGCGGCAAGGTAACAATGACAGCGAACACTGGGATCTGACTGAAGCACTTTCACTGCAGAATGATGGCCATGAAAAAATCTACCAACAAAGAAGAAAAATAATACATTTGTAGTGTAGTACAATAATTATTATAACAAATTTTGTATTGATATTTTTTCCAACATCCTCCAATCTATTAGTACAATATTAGTATAATATTAGCGCTAATAAATCACGGCAATTTTAATGTACAATGAAATTCTATAGGAGTTTTTAGATGCTGCTGAATAATTACAGTTTGAGTGAACCAATACATTTGTATTATTGATATTATCTATATCTGTGGTTCTCAAACTGTGGTACACATACCACCGGTGGTACTTGAGCGCTCTCTAGTGATCATATTTTCACTAGAGAGCGCTCAAGTGAAAAATATCATGCACAATTAATACAACATTTAGAAAACATGTGTAGCTACATGTGATATTATGAAATAGGATGTCTGGTCTTTATTTATTATTTACTTGTTTTTGCTGCAATGCAAGTCTGTTTCTCACATAAGCACAGGCAGCACAGAATCATGGGGTCACTCTCAAGTTGAACGTGGAACGAGCAGGGGGATTCTAATGTTGGTCATTATGGTGGTACTCAGAGAGATGAAGGTTTTCTCAGGTGGTGCAGAGTAGAAACATTTGGAGAAGGAAAGGAAAAGGAAAGTGAACTCCTTGTCACTGTGACACAGCTCACCACTGCACACAACCAAATGTGACCTCTGTTTTTAACTCATCACCAAAATGAACAGTGGGCAGCTTTAAGGGGAGCAGTGAGTGGGGACGGTGTCATGCTCAGAGGACTTCAGTGGTAACTTGGCAGCTGGTGGACTCGAACTTGCAAGTCCGAACCCAAGTCCGCTTCCTTATCCACTAATCCACCACTGCCGGCCTGAGAACCACTGATCTATATCATTAAGAATGTACTACAAGCAGGTTCTGTCTTTCACAGCGTCTTATCTCTGCTGTATTCCCAGGTATTTTTAGAGGGCGGGAAGTTTGAGCGAGGCCTAACGGACATCTTTAATGTGGAAATAGCCGCGCTACTCAGTCCCATCAGCAGAGTCACCGTTGGGCATGACAACGATGGAGTAAGTGCTGGCTGGTACTGTGAAAAGGTGAAGATGAGACTCAATTCATGCCTCTATGAAAACAGCAGAGTTTTCAGAGTGAATCCATTCATGAAGCTTGTCCTGTTTTTTTTTTTTCGATAGGTGGTGGTGTACTGCCCATTCACAGGAATTGAACAGACTTTTCCTTGTAGTAAATGGCTGGATGACAGAGAGGGAGACGGGCTGATAGAGAGAGAGCTCTATGAGATGGTTTCTCTCAGACAGAAGAGACAGAAAAGTAAGTTGGCTGCTAAACACAGCTGCACTCTGAGAACAAGGCCTGAGCAAAGCACTCTGCATGGTATTGTACATCAACATGTGCTTTTTAGTTAGTATTGACAAATTTCTCTTTAGTCATGGATACTGGTTGGAATAGGGAACAAAACTTTCGTAAATGCTGTAAACAACAAGAACAAATGACAAAATAAAATGACTTAACCTTTTTGTGAAGACACAACCATTTGTTTGGTTTTCCTCAGAGCACCCCTGGTCTTTATGGATCTGGACCTCAGATCTGCCCAGCTCTGGAACTGATGCTGAAATCTCCTTCCAGGTTTATGGAGAGAAGGGAAAATCAGACGAGATCAGGCTGGAAAACAAAACAGACAACTTTGAACAGGGACAGACAGACAAGTTTATGGTATGTAGGATGTCAATAATAAAGTACAACACATTATTACTGTCAATGTGTCATACTGTACAGTATAGTGCTGTTGTGTATTGAAGTGTTTCTCTATAATGGGAAAACACAGGTTGAGCTTCCAGATTTAGGAAAATTGACCAAATTACGGATCTGGCACGAGAAGAGAAGTCCATTCGCTGGATGGCATCTCAGCAAGGTAGGGAATTATTCTTTATTCTTCAGAATAAATACAAGTGGTATTTTACAATACTGCGTTTCACTTATTAGGCAACTATAATGAAGACGTTGACCAAAGAAAAATATATGTTTCCATGTGAGCGGTGGTTGGACTCCAATGAAGATGACCAGGAGGTTGTGAGGGAGCTTCCTGCCACTGGTGACCTGATCTCTGAGCCGCTGCCAGGTGTGGAGATACACCATAAACAAACCCCTGGATATGATTTTATACTATTTCAATTCATGGTGGCAGAGTTAATGACATGAACCTATCAATGTTGTTCTTTCTGCAGTGATAAAGTACAGAGTGACGGTGTGCACAGGGACTGTCGGCGGCAGTGGCACAGACGCGAATGTTTATCTAAATCTAATTGGAGACATGGGAGACACGGGGGACCGAGATCTGGTCAACTGCAAGAACAATGTCAACAAGTTTGAGAAAGGAAATGTGGGTGGAGTTAATTTAGCAGTCTCAGACAGACTTCTCTGTAAAATATCTAAAGAAAAACTTTCTCCGTTGACATTTTCTTAGTGTCTCTCTGAGTGTGCTCTTATTTTTTTAGTTGTGGAAGTTTTATTTTCTCATAAATAACAGCAGTTGATGCCGTTGAATGTCAAGTCGTTATTCACTAACAGATTATTAAAAAACAAAACAAAACACCATTATGGACATTTTATGATGCTGGGATGAATCATAGGCTGCTCTGGGTAATACAGCAACAAACTTCTTTTTCTCCAAAGTACTTCAGTAGTGGGCAGTCGGATATTTCACCTCTCATTCAAGAGGCTTTTATATAAAAGTCACATCAGAATATAAGTTGCATGATGAGTCAAAGTATAACAAAATTATGACCTACAGTCATTTCTAGATACCCTAGGCCCCCCAGGCAAGAGGGGCCATAGACGACTGAAATTGTTGACAAGCTGCCTCTTAGGACCCCTTCCAGCTTGCCTGCTCTGTTGTATAGTCAAGAATATAGGGTCGTTATGGTGTATAAAAAGGTCACTGCTGTTAATTTAAATACTATGTCATTGTAGCTGGTCAAAGCTGGTCATACCATGGTATTTGTGGAAAGCAATTAAAAAGTGACGTTTAACCTGAATTTTCCTTCCTTACAGTTGGACGAGTTCATAATCGAAGCAGTGAACATCGGACGGGTCCGCAGGGTCAGGATTGGACATAACGGAAAAGGTGGAGGCTGCGGCTGGTTCCTTGATAAAGTGGTGGTCAGAGAGGAGGGACAGGCTGAGTCTCAGGCTATTGAATTTCCCTGCAACAGGTGCAACAGCCTCAGGCGGAATACATACTCATGTTACAAATGTAAGTATTTAAATACATTTTCATTTTTGTTGATTGCAGGTGGCTGGATCGTGGCGAGGACGATGGACAGATTGTCAGGGAGTTAGTGCCAATATTAGATGGACAACGTCTTTACAGTGAGTCCAACTTTGATAATATAATAATCCTTGCTTTATTTATCTGTTAAATTATATCAAGTTACCCAGTGGTGGAATTGCTTTTTGATATATATGGTGATGCTGGTAATATGGTCACTCTTCTTCACCTCCTTTGTGCACCATTGGTTCATAATGATGGTTAATCCCTGTTATTTAAAAAAAAACAAAGTTCACTAATATTACTATTTTACACCCAACCTCAAAAGCTGTATATTGTGTCTCTGTGTGTCAGACGTCGACTATAAAATTATAGTGAAGACGGGCAGCATCCCCGGCAGCAGTTCTGACTCTAATGTGTTCATCAAGTTGTATGGAGAGAAAGGCGACACCACTAAGATGATGCTGCTGGTCTCCGAAAACAACCTGGGCAACTACTTTGAGACGGGCCGCATTGATGTCTTTAATGTGGAAACTTTCAATATTGGACAGGTGACACAGCAGAAGAGAGTTTTTTAGCAACAAAATACCAATATGATAAAAACAAATACTGACCTGAGGCTTCCATGGCACTGACCACAGTTGTTAACTTCAAGTCAAAGAAATAAAAAAAACATTAAGAGTTTTGTTACATGAAGGTCAAAGGTAAAGTTCTTACAATTTAAATTTCTAGATAGTTGTAGGACTCAGCCATTTGCACTTCAGAACCCTTACTGACTAAGGACAGATGCGTGTGACATGCTGTTCTTAAATCCATGACTACTGCCGTCGTCATTTTAACATTAATTTGGTTGTTTTTCAACAAAGTCCTTCATCGCTGAACCACAGTGGTGTTCTTATTTTGTAGCAGGCTGATTATAAGTGTGTTGTCTCAAACTTGAAGTGGTGTATTTTACTGCAGAGTTTTCAATTGTAATTGTAATCAGAGAGAGTGGATCCTTGTGGAGGTCCAGTAAATAAAATCTGAAACAACAAGGTAATTTTCCTGCCAGTGTAACACACAAGGAAGCAGAGTCCTTTGTTGTTCCTCTTAAAACAAACAAAATCTGTTTTTGTTGACCAGCATGGAATGTTGACCACAATCCAATATTTATAATTACATTCGAACTGTAGTGCTTTCAAACTAGGATGAAATTGTGTGAATTTAATTGTCACCCATTCGTTTCCGTGTATTTTGCTTCCAGATCAGTCGCATGATGATTGGTCACACCAATGAAGGCATGCGTGCTGGTTGGTTCCTGGACAGTGTTCAGATCATAGTTCCAGTCCATGGGTCAAATTACATGTTTCCCGCCCACCGCTGGCTGTGCAAGGATGAGGCCGATGGGAAAACAGAAGTGGAGCTTTATCCAAGCGAGATCCTGGAGGTGGAACAATGTAAACAAAGTTCAAGAAAATAAATAAATAAATACTAAGAATATTCTATTTCAAAATTTTAAGAATGTTGTCATTATACAGATGTATTTAATGTGTAAAAAATAACAGCATTAGGTTATCGAGGTAGTAAGTAAGTTAAAAAAGATATAATCAGTAGAACAGCTGACATTGTTTTAAATTAATATCTTATTGTTAGAAAAAAATTAGTGGGGGGGCAGCAGATGATTATGAAATTCACTGCTGTAATGTACGATAAGATCCTTGTTGTAAATGGCACCTGTTAACATTCAGTTTTAAACCCTTGAAATGATGTTCTCTGTGACTTAAATGTACATTCCTATGGTCTGTTATTCAGACATACTTACATACACATGTGACATATACGTTGCCAAAAAATGCATTCCAACAGAAGTAATATCCCATCTTTTTTCTGGATCTTCACCTTTACCAGTGATGAACTATGAAATAACAGTCGTGACTGGAGATGTGGTGTTTGCCGGCACCAATGCCAGAGTGTACATCCAGCTCTATGGAGAAAATGGAAAATCTGAGGTTATCAGACTGCACAGCAGGTCCAACAACTATGAGAGGGACACCACCGAAATATTCAAGGTATGAGAAGTGATAATTCTCATTTTTGATTCTCCGTTTTAAGGTTTTTTTTTTTAATATGGCATGTGTTCCCCAGATCAATGCCAAGGATGTGGGGAAGATCTTCAAGATCCGCATTGGTCACGATGGCTCAGGAGTTGGAGCTGGCTGGTTCCTGGAGTCTGTGGATGTCAAACATCTAATCATGGCCATGATGCCCAAGGAGAAGAAAAAGGAAGACAAGAAAAAAAAGAAGAAAAAGAAGAAAGATGAGGATGATGAAGATGAAGGAGAGGAGATGCAGGAAGTCGCGTTCACGTATCATTTCCCCTGTTCCCGCTGGCTGGCGGAAGGAGAGGAGGATGGAGAACTGGTGGTGGAGCTGCTACCTGAGGATGCAGAAGACTTGGAAAGTAAGTGTTTAATGTGTGTGTACACGGAGCTGAGGAAATACTTTATTTGTTATGTTATATCAAGATGAGTCTTGAATTATCGTTAATTAATGACAACGCCTTTAACCATTTGACAGTTAACATTTTCTCTAAACACCTGGAAGCACGCACATCCATCCTATAAAAACCTTTATTATGCCTTATTTAACATTTATTCACACCACTAGCTCAGTGCTAAATTAAACATTCCCTAAAGCCAGGCTTAAAGGGAATTTAAAGGACTAGTTAAGTGGCCCAATCAATTAAGAAATATTCAGAGAGCTGATGCCGTTTTAGTGTACAATGGGTTTTGCGAAGTAAATTCAATTTATACCAAAGAAGTAACTAAATAGTGTCTATACACAAATGCTTGGATATTTAATTATTTGTCTCTAGAATTCAGAGCTAATGATGTGAACATGCATGGTTTCCTCTGACACGGTTTCCTGACCAACATTCAGCATGTGATGAGTTTAAGACCCATTAGGCATTCATCCCCTGTATTCTCTGACAGTCAACACCTATGAAGTGTGTGTCTTCACTGGAGACATGCTAGGAGCCGGTACTGATGCCAACGTCCTCGTTAATATTTATGGAGAAAATGGAGACACCGGAGAGCGCCCCCTGAAGAACTCTGACAACATCAACAAATTTGAGCGAGGCCAGGTACAATGATGAGAACCACTTTTTTACATTTGCAGAAGATAAAAGAGAAATGTATTAGCATTAGCACAATTGATGTTGACGTTACCTGCAGTAAGACCCATAAACCAACAGCCCTGGGATTTTCAGTCCAACGTAATGGCAAATATGTTTAATTAAGTCTGGATTTTATGTTCAAAATGTCATGCATTTTTATTAGTGCTGTACAGTTTTCTTGGGAGAATACTGTGTGCTGCTGAAAATTAACCCAGCATTAATCGAAGGCTCAGGCACTTCAACGGAACATGAGCCTCACACAGAGGTGATCACAGGAGTGTATTCTGGTAGGATTACAAGCTCTCCAGCAGGCAAGCCAGGTGTGACCGGGGGGAGCTGTGAGGCATCGTCCTCTGTGTCATTGGACGTGTCCTGCTTTTACTTGACTTTATCCAAACAATCTGTGCATTACACCTGTTTTTGTAATGACACAAAACTGGGTGTCAGTGCTCTGTGAATAAAACCCAGGATTGACTTAATTCAGATAGGAGGTGGAATTTAGTTTAATTTAGCACCACATGCTGCTAGAAGAGGTTACTGCTTTCCTAGGGAGTACACAGCCTCCCCCACACTCCCATCACAAAAATGATTAAAACAAACTAAATGAATAATTGAATAATGATAATTTACCGAATATTCTTGCTAGATTGCTAAATGCTATATTCTTCATAGAACCAAGTAAGTCTTTAGTATCTCGGTAGACGGCCAAATGTTTTCTGAGGCTGCCTTATCTTGCAGGAGGATGTTTTCACAGTGACAGCTGTCGACCTGGGTACTCTGAAGAAGTTGCGGATTCGCCATGACAACACCAACTCTTATTCCTCCTGGTACCTGGATCGTGTGGAGATAGTGGACACAAAGGAAGACATAACGTGGGTGAAACCTAAATACATTACAACTTTACATCCATGCAGCAGGTGCTAATCTGTTCTTGGTGTCTGCAGGTATTATTTTCCGTGTAACCGATGGCTTGCTGTGGATGAGGATGATGGACAGATTGCGAGGGAGCTAGTCCCTGTGGACGAGGCTTTCATGATGCAGGATGATGATGAAGAAGGAGGGGCCACACTTGGACTGGAGCAGAAATGTAACTTTTTTTTAACAACAACAGCTTCTTGTGGTAGTGGAGGAAACCCTGGTTCTGGAGCCATCCCATGGCCCAACAATAAAGGGGGGGTCTGGGGTTTTTAGTTTGAATGCAGCTTTGAGAGAGGGCTTTGGTCTATTGACCAATCAACAATGCACAGTAAAACTGCAGCCCAGTCTTTTCGTGAATGGGTTACATATGTATCATTAAGTCATAATTATATAACATTACTCTATTAGTCAGCTCAATCTTTACAGTAAACTGAAGTAGTTGTGAATTTATTTCCAAACCTCATACACACATATGCACACAGATATAAACATACAGAAATATCTACTCAAGTGGCTCTCCTAATCCTAATGGGAATAATATTTCTTTGCATACCACTAGAGGGAGCACACATATGACTAGCATCATTGTTTGAACCTGCAAGAGAATTAGGGTTCTGAAAAAAGCTCTCAGAGCGGATGGAAGTTGAAAATGAGAGTATTTACAAAAGTGTCACTTAAAAAATAACACTCTAATGATTCAATGCATTTTTCAGCCATGTCAACTACATACACAGTGAAAGTAAAAACTGGTGAAAAGAAGTATGCTGGAACTGATGCCAACGTTTACTGCATCCTGTTTGGTGAAACTGACGACACAGGTGAGCAGGAGTTCCCAATGTCACTGCATTGTCATGACACATTATCAGAATTTAAAATGTCTTCTCTTGACAGGGTTTGTCAACCTGAAGTCTTGCAAGAATCATAAGAACAAGTTTGAGCAGGGAATGGTCAATGAGTTCACCATCGAGGCTGTGGACTTGGGCGAGCTGCTGAAGCTTCGAATTGGCCATGACAACTCAGGTGGAAGAATATGCTCATGGAAACTAAAATAAACCCTTTTTTTTAATTTCACTAAATTAAAAAAAAATGTTTTTCATAGGTGGTTCAGAAGGATGGTTCTTGGACTGGGTCGAGGTTGATGCACCGTCACAGGGTCAGAGACTACGTTTCCCATGTGGCCGATGGTTGGACAAGAACGAGGATGATGGCGCGATAGTGAGGGATCTGTATCCTGCTGATTTACAGACTGAACTCTACACACCATGTGAGTGAAGAACCGTTAAACAAAAAATCAGTTTATTGAAAGCAAAACTTTAACAGACTTATCTTTTGGTAAAAATGCTTTGAACCACTTTAACTGACTCACTATGAAATCATTAGAAGTAAAAAAAAATGTATTAAAACTCTGTCTTGAGAGGCTCTTTGTCACAGCACTGACATGTTGTCTTTCACAGTGAAGAAGATTTGTTTTAAACAGCAGTGCAGTAAGCTACACATAAAGCTTCTAGATCACAAGAGGACAACCAGTAACATTTTCACTGGACTTTAAAAAAAACCCACACATGATAGAGTCCTGGAAAACCAAGACACTATCTAAGGCATAGTACTTTTCATTCTGTCAATAAAACTCCCTTAAAATTCCCTTAAGCTTTTTACTCTCACTGCAGATAGATACAAATTGGTAAATTAAAGCATGGCCACAATGCATTTTCAAAACGACTCCATATTTCCAACTTATAATACATCAAAGAAAATAAAAAGTACAAATGCAATTAAATTTTTAAACCATAAATCGTAACTGGTTAAGAACTGTACCAGATGTTTACAATACATTTAATTGTATTGGTCTTATGAGATACGGTATATACCCTGAAACAACCGTTCCATGTTTTCAAATTTAGAAAATATTTGTACAATTTAAAAGTTTATTTGCATGAATTAGTGACATCTACACCTGGTATTGCAAATGCAACCACTGGAGGACTCCTCCCCTCCCTCCTCCCACTCTGTGGCAAATTAGAGCGTGGTTAAAATATAAGGATATAACCACTTTTACAGTTTGTGCTTCTAAGTAATTTCTGTATAACACAAGTCACTGAAGTCACTAAAGCTTATGGCAGTTTTTAATGCATTTTAAAAATGTCTTCACAAGAAATGTGCTGTTTGCTGTGGAATAGTGTCCCCTATAGAGGCACAAACACCAATTTTTTTAATGTCATACATTCATAGAAATCTAACTACTTCAGTCACTCTGGTTTGTTCCAGTTGTGCCCTATGAGATAAAGATCTTCACCAGCGATGAGTTTTGTGCAGGGACAGACGCCGATGTGTTCATAGCCCTGTATGGACATAAGGGAGTGTCCACGCAGCAGAAACACCTGTGTGTCAACAAGAGGGAGCGACGTCTGTACTTTGAGAGGGGAGCAGAGGACATGTTCATCGTAGAGGTGAGTGTAAAAGTTTTGAACACACAACTTTAAAAGGTGTAGCAGCTACTGTACAGCCCTGCAGAGACCGAGTTGTCTCTTCCCAGTTGGAGGATGTAGGTGATGTCATAGAGAAGATCAGAATCGGACACGACAACAAAGGCACCAACCCAGGATGGCACCTGGACAGAGTGGAGATCAGACGACAGCTCCGCAAAGGAAAGGTAGAGAAAAATAATCACAGTGAAGAAATGCCGAATTTATTGAATTATGTCTCTCTTTTAAATGAGTGAGAGATAAATAGTGCATCAGCACATGGCTCTCACTCAGCACAGATTTGCTTTCTCTCACTGTCAGACCCACTTTTCAGGATGTGTGTGCTCCATGTTTTTAACATCAGGGCTCAGAGACCACCATATTCCCATGCGAGTGCTGGCTGGCCAAGTCTGAGGATGATGGGGAGACAGTGAGGGAGCTGGTCCCCTCAGACATCATCACTCAGAAACTCCTCAGGGACGGTACGCTGAAAACCACTGAAACAGAGGTGGAGGATGCCCTGGAAAGTAGGTTTACTCTGGTTCTAGTGGTTGCATGTGCTATAATTCACCTCATGAATCACAGAGCTTTCATGACACTTTACACGTTTGCGCACTTAAATAAATTGTTACAGTGAAAACCAAGAACATGGAAACAAGCCTGTGACATCAGCACTAGGGCAGAACACCTCACAGCAGAATTTATCCACTTAAGAGTTCAAATATGCAAATTCAAAAGTCTGTAGAGTCCCATAATCCTATAGTCCCATTTATAATACATATTTAATATATATATATATATAAACTATGTTAATTATACCCGTCTTTCTCTCAGTTTTGTGTTGTATTTTATTGCATTTAATATTGTATTTCATGGAAATAAAGGTGTGACTTATGTTTCATGTGTGTGAAAATAACTCTCAAATACACCGAAAAAAATCCTCTGTCACTGGGATGAATTCAGAAAAAATGACACAAACACAAAATGACAGAAATGTGGACAAACTCATTACAAGTATCCAGCCGGGGTTGATGCGAGTTGATGAGGCTCTGGCTCATGTCCTAAAAGCATTGGCTCACGGTGTAGCTGTAGGACCTCTGTAACCAGAGCCATCTGGAGGATCTGTCAGCACCTTCTGTGGTGGATTTGATGGCTTTTTAATTGGCTAATCAACTTATGACAAAGGGAATGTGAAGATTGCCATCACTAGCAAACACTGAACTGATGGGTATATGATAATGTGGAATTAAATACTGTTAAATAAGGTTATATGTATATATATATACCCTTATATATACAGTATATATATACACTTTTTCAAATGACCGGGGTAAAGTGATCTACCTACATTGAAAACTATAAATATATATTTTCTGCTTTGATTAAATGGCTGTAGTTCTATGGCACAATGCCGTCTGACTCAATACTTCTATGGTCCTTACTTTAGCCCTAGTGATTAGCCTCTTAAAATAGAATTCAATCTTTATAGTTTTTTTTTTTGTTGTTGTTTCTTTAAATGTAATTGCTCCAGATCTACCAGCACTCCCTTTGAGATCTACTGCTAGATCCTGATCTACTTATTGGGCAGCCCTGCTTTAGGACATCTATAATTCTTTACCTCTACAGCTCACAGCTACAAAGTGTCTGTGCGGACGGGGGACATGTATGGAGCTGGAACTGATGCCAACGTTTTCCTGACCATCTACGGAGACCTGGGGGACACAGGGGAGCGCAAACTTGCCAAATCTACGGCCAACACCAACAAGTTTGAGAGAGGAGCAGTGGACAAGTTCACCATCGAGGCTGTGGATCTAGGACAAGTCTTTAAGATTGCTATTCGTCACGACAACTCCAATGTGGCAGCTGACTGGTACTTGGACCAGGTGGAGGTGCTGGATGAGGACACTGAGGAGGTCTACATGTTCTTGTGTGAGCGTTGGCTGTCCACGAAGAAAGAAGACAAATGCATAAGCAGGATCTTCTTTGTCAAGGTAGGGAGGAGACAACGAGTCTGATCCACCTATGCTCCACTCCATTTGTAAATAGACATTTGTTTCCAAGTCACGGCACTGTGACGCTCCCCCTTCTTCTGCTGCTTTAAATTCTGTCCGTTCCTGTAGCTGAAATGAAAATAAGCAGATTATTTTTCTGGTTTTAGGGATACGAAGGTGAAAGGAGCACTGATCCAATGTCCCTGAAAATAGCGCAGGCCAAACAGGGTCTGGACCGAAATGCCAACAAGAAGAAAAAGAAGAAAAAAGCAGCGGTGGTTGAGGAGGGTCCAAGTAAGCAACAACACTATTTCTTAAACTTTTAACAATTAAATTTAAATTTTAGAAACTGATTTTATGCAAAGCTTTTTTTAACAAAGGCCTTTGGCATGTTATATAGTTCTCGGTAGGGAGAAAAAGAGCAGCTGAGATTTAGTCACATTACTAATTTAACTGAGAATAACTAACGTCATAATAACTTATAGTCTCTCAGAAGGAGCAGGTGGCTTGTGGGTATTTGACATGACCAAACCTGCACGTCTAGTCTAGCTCAATTTAGTTTATTTTCCGGTGACATTTACAAGCTGCTCAATATTATAAGGAGACAGACGAGTGAAACACTTCAGGGAACAAGCAAGCGCTTGGTGTCAGTGAAGAGAAACAAAAACTTGTTTTTACAGAAATAAAATCTCTGGAGAAAAACAGAGAAAATATGGATATACCGTAGAAGAGAGAGAGCAGGAGCAGAGCTGTCACTGTTATATAACAGCTGCAACTTCATGAAAAGATGATAACAATATATTTGACTGTAAAATGATAGCTGTGGATCATGAATGACACATTTGTGCCGCCTGCATCCAAAACGTGCAGGGTATAATTAAAAAAAAAAGGACAAGACAATGAAATGTGTCAAACTGTCCTAACCTTAAATAACATCTTTAATAGGTCAGGCCCGAGAAGAATCTGTCGCTGCTACTATGTTCTCTGAGCCTCTCTGTGTGACAGATGGTGCCTTCACACATCCACTCAACTGTGGAGGTTACACACCAGAGATTCTTCTGTCAGTTCACATGTTTTATATCTGGTTAATGTCAAAGTGACTTCTTGTAAGAACAGCAGGGGAGACAACTACAGATCATCCACAGTGAGCGATGGTGACGGTGTCCTGCTCCTCGATAATAACGCCAGGCTCGCACTTTACCTGAATCCTCCAGAGATGCCCCGCCGCTGTGAACACTTTTCACCCTAGACACACTCCTGCTGCATTTTTTCATGTGTGACGGGAAAAGTCAGGAAGATGTCCCTGACCCAAATCTCCAGACAATACTGGGAGATCGTACCTGGAAATAGCCTTAATGATTGTCACTGAGTGCCTGAATTAGGACCAGCAGGTTTAAGACTATCACCAGGGCTCAAGTCAGGGAAAGGTTATTAAAAGTCTTGGTAATGTCTGGTTTTATGAAATAGGCAAACAAGGATCTATAACAGATACTGTACGTAGGCTTAATTCAGTGACATCATCCTGGATCAGAAGAACTCTGTGTAGCTGCTTTTGTATGTGACTGTTTCAAAAAATGTGCAAATATATCCAAGCCGTTGTGCGCATCTTTTAAATAGAGAGGGGGAAAAAAGAAATTATTTAAGGCAGCTGAGTGAATGTCTGCACCAACCAGAGAGGGAGACATTTCATTACTCAGTGCCTCACACTACCTGAGGGAGTTTTGTATTTTCTGTCTCCAGTGACTTAGTGAAAACAGCTCACACTGCAGAGGTTATGATGGAAAACTGTTGTGGCTTAGTAACTGCCACTATTGTTTTTTTAGACTGTTTGTGCAGTTGCAGTTATGCTCTTACTGATTGTAAATTCCAAACAACCCTCTCCCTGCAGGGGGTGCTATAAAAGCAATTTAAATGCACTCTTACATGCGTTACTATCACTGCTACAGTCTTCTAAATTCTGTCAGTTTTCAATAACAGACATACAGTAGGATTGTGTGGCACTTTGGCCCAAAGGCAGTGTCTCTGTCGTTGGTGTGGAACCCCAGGGTTCACCTCCTGGGCAAGATCAAATCCCGGGTAGGGAGGTTGGTACCTTCCAGTGGACTCACCACCCGCAGGAAGATTCGGGGGGAGAGGGGTTGGTACGGTGCAGTGTGATTTGGGTGGTGGTCATAGAAACTGCTGCCCCCGTGACATGGTAACGGATAAGCGGATGAAAATGGATGGATGGATGGATGGACAGAATGATTGTGACAAAGCAATTATAGTACATAATAGTACAGTTCAGTTAATTAATTAAAAATGATTTATTACTACAGTAAATTCCTGCAAATTGATCCCGCCCCTCCCCCCATGGTCACAACAGAAGCTCTGGAGGCTGCATCACTGTCTATTTTATACTAATGAAATAATGGGATAAAGAAAATGAAGTGATGATAAACTCATTACTAAACTGATCAATATGTTTCCTATTGTTATCTTGTTTTTAATTTTTGAAAACTCCAACTTCAAACAGAAGTATAGTTGATAACCACTCCATGAGCCACAGCGATGTTCACTAAAAGATACAATTCATCTCTTTCCCATAGTCATCCCATATCACTTCACTTTGTCCACGGGAAAGGAACGTGATGCCACCACCACAGCCAGGGCCTATGTCATCATTATTGGCAACAACGAGACAGAGACAGATCGACTGTGGCTCGACCTGCCAAAGGGAAAGAATTGCTTCGTGGCTGGCACCATGGAGCACTTTGTGTCTTATGGAACTGACGTTGGAGAGATCAAGAGGGTGGAAGTGAGAATCTGCGACTGTCTTTGAGTTTCTAAATCTGTGAAAACATCTCTCCTCTGCTGCTTTTAGTTTAGTTAAAAAAAAAAAACTTTTACATAAAGCCATTCTCACTCAGCATAATTATTTCCAGTCATTCCTTTTGTTACCCTTGATCAAATCAAATTGAGAACTGTTTCTAATTCACTTCCACCTTCCCTTTTCTGTCTTTTTTTTCCTTTCCTCTCCTGCTTTTTTTTTTTTTTTTGGTTTCTAAGCTTGGTCATAACGGTGTGACACCAGAGAGCTGCTGGTTGGTGGAAGAGCTGTCGGTTGCCGTGCCAACCAAAGGTATCAAGTACATTTTTCCATGTAGGTGCTGGCTGGCTAAAGACAGAGGAGATGGTCTGACTGCCAGACTTTTTAATGTGCTGGATGCTAGCACTATCAACATTATCCGCAAAGTGAGTCACGCAGCACCTTAAAAGATTAGTTTGTTGTACTTGTGAGTACACCAGTTTCCTCTGCTGTGGTGTTCTAGGTCATATATTCAGTGACAGTTGTCACGGGTGACACCCAGTATGCAGGGACTGATACCAACATATTCCTTACTGTGTATGGAGCCAATGGGAGCACAGAGGAAATGCTGCTGCCTAAAAATGGGGACAGGTCAGTCTTACAGTCACTACAACCTACTGTAAATAGGTAAAGGGACCACTATCTCTATCACAGATTAAACATCTTCATATACCACCCTCATGTACAGTGCTGCCACACCTGACTTTGTTTTGCCTTGGACCACAGTTCATTTCTTTTATATTTCTGAAAGTTCAAGGCAAAAATTGTGTCTTTGGTACATCTTTATATTTTTAATGAAGGTAGTGAGGTTGATTTTCAAACAGGGGTAATGGATATAAATGTAGGCCTTGTCACTGCAGACTTTAAAAAGGACAGTTGAAAACCTACTGTAGTGTAGTGCTCTATTAATGTGCTGTTATAAACCAAATACCCTGAATCGTTCCTGTTACGAACACTCAAAACATCAAAACAAATTTGATTTTTTTTTAACAGATTTGATTTTAAAGGATTATACTATATCTTGACTGACTTCATGTTGGTGATCAAATGAAATAGTTTTTTTTTTTTTGTGCTGAGCTGAACTAATTCCAGTTGTGTCAACAAGAGACATCTTATTGTTGCGTTCTCTTTATGATTGATTGATAAATTGTATGCATTTTCTGTACATGTAGGTTTGAACGAGACCAAGAAGACACTTTCAACCTTGAAATTGACGACATTGCTCCTCTGAAAAAGATCAGAGTTCGGATTGATGGCACTGGAAGTCGTCCTGATTGGTTTCTTGACAGAGTGGGTAACCATGATGTGACAAGAAATTTTAAAATAAATGAATAGTTTCCTGCAATATATATATATATATATATATATGTGTGTGTGTGTATATATATATATATATATATATATACACACATATATATACATATATATATCCCTTAGTTGTATTTAATTAATAATAACAAAAACGTTTTTTCTCCAATTAAAATATTCTTAAAAATATGTTTTAGTCTCTCCAGCAAAAAGGAAACAGATTTTAAATCTCAAATGTTTTATTCAATATGTGTAGATTGTGATGCAAAACCTGACCACAGAGGAAGTTTATGAGTTCACCTACGAGAACTGGCTGTCAAAGACCAAAGGGCCAAAGAGGACAAAGGTGTGTGAGCTGGGAGCAGTGGTGGATGAAGAGGAGATGGTGGAGAAGACCACCTACATCGTCCAAGTCCAAACCAGTGATGTCGGAGGTAACTCACATCGGAACACTATATTATTATTTTTTTGTTGAAATATTTGAATTTATGGTTGCAGTTATAGTGACGACATATTTATCTGTTGTTTCTCTCGTGTTTAAGGGGCTGGCACTGATGCCAACGTGTTTCTGATCTTGTTTGGGGAGTATGGAGACAGTGGAATGCTGCCTCTGAAGATGAGCACCAACCGAAACAAATTTGAGCGAAAAATGAAGGATGTGTTCAGGTTTGGGGACATGCTCAGTCTGGGTGAACTGTCCAAGGTGCGGGTGTGGCATGACAACAAAGGTACATTTTTAATTTGATGAAAAATGTGTTTGACGTAAATGTGATGGTTTTTATCTCACAGTTTTTGCAGCTCAAGCAAATATTGGTTTAAATGGAAAATTATTTAATCAAGTGTGCATTATTTTACAGATGCTTTGATATATATTTATATAAGGTATTTTTGAGCTTATGTTTTGTATATATCTAAATGTACATATTTATACATACATATGTATATATATATTTATATTTATGTATGTATGTACATATATATATAAATATATGTATGTAAGTATGTATATATGTATGTCTTTTGTACACCTTGTCGGAGAAAGGTCAGAATGTTGTTAAAACTAAACATTTGACTATCAGACTAGAAGTGGTAAACAAACAACAGTATGAAAACATCCAAAGTTGGCCGTGCCTGTTTACAGGTCCTGCTGCTGGTTGGCACCTGGACTACATCGATGTGAAAGATGAGGCCATGGACCAGACCTTTAGGTTCCCCTGTGATCGCTGGTTGGCTAAGAATGATGACGATGGTGAAACGATGAGAGAGCTGGCCTGTGCCAACAACGACTCCATAGACCTCAGTGATAAAACCAGTGAGTCGTGATGAAGCAGAATCACTAACTCATTGATTTCCACACAATTCTCAGGGGACTTGACTTATGTGTAACTGTCTCTCCCTCAACCCCACAGAATATGAAATTGCCACAACAACTGCAAACACAGACAAGGCCTCCACCACGGAAAACGTCTGGTTGGTTTTGGAAGGAAGAAAAACTCGTTCCAAAGAGTTTGTCCTGGAGAATAAGAAAAAGAAGTTCCAATGGTAGGCGGTCAAAGAAAGTCGAGGTTCAGTGCTGTTCAGAGAGAAGCCTCACCGTGTTGTGTTTTACCTGACTTGTTCTAGGTTTTTTAGCATCTTCTATCTTTAGCTTCTCTTTCTCATCTCTCGGCCTCTGCTCTCTGGAGATCTTCTCCCATGTGCTAAAGAAAGAAAAAGTTCTCAGGCAGAGCAGACAGTTTTAACTCTTCGCTGTCCAGGACCACGCTCCGTACAGGCAGTAAAAGCCACTGTTTTCTGCTTTGACAGCGGTGCCGTTGACTCATTTGAGTTCTCCTCCAAGCACCTGGGGGATATCGCTGGAATCACCATTGGTCATATAACCAAAGATGGCAAGAAGCCCAAGAAGGAAGTGTTCTGGCATGTGATGGAGGTGGTGGTGACTGAGAAAGAGCTGGGAAACAAGTAAGTGCTTTAAGCTTTTAACAGATACTGTAGGTTGTATAATTTTATATATAATCTAAAATAAATATTACAGGCATTAGTGTGACAACCACTTTTTGCCCATTTAGATATTACTTCCAGTGTGATGCACAAATCCCTCTGGCAGCCAAAAAGGACCAGTTCCTGACCTTTGAATGCTGCAGGTCCGTTGAGAGTTTTGCGAGCAAAGTCCGCAACCTTGTTCCCGTCAAGTATGAAATCATTGTCATCACGGGGGACATAAAAGGAGCAGGCACAGACGCCAACGTCTTCATTACCCTCTATGGAGTCAACGGGGACTCGGGCCAGCGTGCTCTGAAGCAGAAGTTCCGTAACCTTTTTGAGCGAGGAAAAACAAACCGCTTTATTTTAGAGATGCTGGATCTCGGCGAGCTGCTGAGGGTGAAGATGGAACACGACTGCAGCCACCCCAACAGTGGATGGTACTTAGAGTGTGTGGAGGTGACCAACACCGCCAACTCTGTCACCACCATCTTTCACTGTGGGAAATGGCTGGGCACTGACAAGGCCGACGGACAGATTCAGAGAGTCCTTTACCCCAAATATTAGGAGGAGGGGGAGTTTTTGAGACATTTTCATTATTTGTAATTTTATACGGATTTGTATTTTTTAATTGTAACGGTGTGCCAATTGTTTAGGTCTAGGGTCTGTGTCAGGTTTATTCTAAAATATATGACGACAAAGTAACAACACAAAAGACGTCTTGATTTTTTACTTGAAAGGGGAGAGTGCAGCTTACTCTTCTGGCAGCTTCCTCATCAACACTGAATAGCCACACCGTTCCTCTGCAATTTTATTGAGTTTATAAAAGTATCAGAATACATATCATGTGATCGTGTGTGAGTGTATGAATAGGTATGGAGTAAGAAGGTGGGTGTGAATGGGAATGTGGCTGTATGTGGTCATTTCTCCATCAGTCTTGAGCACACTAGATTATAATATGAGAAGCAAACAGTTTCTTAAAGCGACAGTACAGCATGAAGCAATGATAATAAATTAAATTCTTCCAACATTTCCCTCCTGTTTATCATTGATGAATGCCAAATTCTCTTATGATGCATTATGGCTCCTTAGGCTAGGGTTTCCATAACACCTACATTTTCATAGCACACAGTTTGATTTGTTTTACCAGAGAGTTTCCAATTACTCCCCATTGGCAATTTAGTCCAATTCAGAGACATAGTGATCAGATTTTGCATGTTGGAAAAATCACGTTGGATCTTCAATTGATTCCAAATGTTTTTGTCTCTGTACACATTTTTATCTGACATTGTGGGAATCCATTGACCTGTATATTCTACTGTATATATCCTATTATTATATATCCCATAGAATTTGGACATTTTCAGTGAAATGTTTAGTGAAGGGCTGCAGTAGGTGTTATCTGAGTGACCTTCACAGTCAAGGCGGTATGCAGCTGGGGTAGCTATTAAGCCCAGACGTTACCATGACATTCCTTTTTGTTTAGCTAATGAAACATGGGTCACCGTATTGTGCTTCTTCTGAAACCTTGACAGTAGCAGCAGCTGTGCTTTCTTTATCTGTTATTATGTCTTGTACTGGACTTTTTTGAGATTTCAGTTTGTGCACCTCAAAATCATCGTCTTGCCCTGGAGTGTGCTTTAAATGCAAAGTTACATGCAGTTTATCAACTTGTTGGATTTGGTCTGGCATTTTTTATTTTGCTAAGCAATGTTGTTGGGACACTCAAGGGCGGAGTGTTCCAACAACACGAAATAACCTCCATTGTCACTGTAAATGGTCCGTGGTACACCAGATCTTGGTATAATCTCTTTGACCAGTGCTTTTGCCACTGTAATAGCATCAGCGGCTTTTGATGGGAACAATTCTACCTATTTAGAAAAGGCATCCACTATGACAAGACAGTATTTTTGTCCTTCACTATGACTAGACAGTATTTCTCTCATATGTAGCTCCTGGAACGGGTAATTATGTTTTGGGAACTTAACTCTTTTTGGTCGGATGTTTCTTTGTGAATTATGTTTAGCACATGTTAGACATGCTGCACAAAAACATTTTTTAGTAATGATTAAATCCATAGGTGGTGAATACTTTGTTTATAGTATTCACCATCCCTCCTGTTGAGACATGGCAAGGCCCATGGCTCAATATTGCAGCCCATTTAAACAATGATTTTTGTAAAATTGGTTTACCTTCAGGTGATACATATATTTTATTGACTGTCTGACCTGACCCTTACATCACTTTCTCTCACTTCCTCTTTACTTTCTTTTCCTGTTGATGCCCTTATGACATTGTGAATGCAGTAGAGTTGACATATACTACAACAATCATGTGTTACCCTTACATACATCAATATATGTCTCTCACCCCTCTTTTTGTGAAACAGTACATACAGTACATGGAACATATCTACACTTGTCATTGAAGTGATATTGAAACAGTGACAGGGATTATTTGTAAGGCATGTGTGTTCTATGTAGCAGCATGGCCCTATTTGTGATTGAGAACTGGGCCATCCAATAAGAACCTAGTACAGTACAGTAGTAGAAATAGAAAAAAAATAGTTTCAGAAACATAGAACCAAATAAGCAAAGCAATAGAAAAGTAACTTAAAATTTAAAATTTAAAATTTAAAATAAATAATATTATAATCTTTTTTTTTCTTAAAAGGAAAACCATATATATATATATATCCTATGAAGGGAAATATCCATAAGTAGTAGAAATAGAAAAAAAAATGTTTCAGAATAAATAGTAATATAATTTTAAGGAAAACCATATATATCCTATGAAGGGAAATATCCATAATCCATACTAAAAAGACAATATTACTCAGAAAATGTCAAAGTTAGGAAAAAACTGAAAAAAAAATATGGCTAGATTTTGAACCAAATATAATTTTGGATGTAGCAAAACTAGCTCAGCAGATAAAACTGTGAACTGTGTGTCTGGTTTAATTGGTTATTGTCTAATGTCTGGTTTGATTGGATATTGTCTAATGCATGGTCTATATTCAGTGTTTTGCACGTTAGTAATTGTCCTACATCTGCATTGCCTTGTGACCATAATGTTGTCGGTATCTCTGCTAAGAGGTTCTCTTCTTCTTTTGTCAGTAGAATTTGGACATTTTCTTTGGATAATTCAGTGAAGGGCTGCAGTAGTTGTTATCTGATTGTTATTCCCAGTCCAGAGTCAGTAGAATTTGGACATTTTCAATGGACAAATTTAGTGAAGGGCTGCAGTAGTTATTATCTGATTGCTATTTCTAGTGAAGGCTGTATGCAGCTGAGGAAGCTATTAAGCCCAGTTGTTGCCATGACATTCCTTTTTGTTTTGCTAATGAAACATGGGTCACCGTACTTGCTGCATTTTATCTCTCTGCTTCTTCTGAAATCTCTCTTTATCTGTTATTATGTCTTGAGTTAGAATTTGTTGAGTTTTCAGTTTGTCGCGTTTTTATCAAAATCATTGTCTTGCCCTGGAGTGTGTGTTAAACACAAAGTTACATGCAGTTTATCAACTTGTTGGATTTGGTCTGGCATTTTTAACACACCTGTTATTTTGCTAAGCAATGTTGTTGGGACACTCAAAAGTGGACCAGTGTTCAAATCTAATGACCAAAATATAGTTTGGTGTGCCTGTTCCTTGCACAACCATAACACCAGTGTTTATTTTGTCTATTCTTTTCACAGTCATTCCACCATTCTTATCGGGCACAATCGCTAGTCGTAACTGTGACATTGTTTACTGGACAATTTGGTGCCAAAATAATTTGCACTTGACATTTATTTCCATTGTCTGTATTCTTTTGATTCTGTTATGCCTTTTAATTCTTCACAGCACACAGTTCTACGTGCTCCTGTTGGATCTTTTGTCTTTGGTTGGTCCAAGGTTTTTAACTTGGATACGAAGGTTGGTGGGGGGTGGGAACGTGTCATACATTCTTCTGTCTGCATCATCTGAAAGTGGAGTTGCTGTATCAACACACTCTCGGTTCCTATGTCTGTTTGATGCTATTGTCTAATTGTCCTCAGGTCTGACATATATAGTAGTTTTTTATTCATATATTGATTGTAGTTTTTTATTCTGAACCATTGCTTCTGCTTTTAATTGTTTTAGTTCTATTCCATTCTTTCTCACACGAGCTTGTTGAAGCCAACATTCAGACACACTCAGCCCAAACTTCTCTTCTTTTTTTTTGATGCCTTTTGCCTTTCTTTTTATGGCAAGCACAAGCTCTTCCTGTTTTAATTTCCCTTAAAATCATACTTTTTCTGCCAATTATTTAAATCTTTACATTTGAAAACATTTGAATTTGAATGAATCTGAATTGTACTTAGACATGTACTTAACATCCCCTTTAAACTCCAGAGTATTTGTCTTTTTGTTACATAAGTCCCCATTTTGATTTTTTTTTTTTATTCAATTTTTTAATTTTTAATTTTTGTTATTTTACACCGTTAGGTTTCAGACTGCCCGCTGATTTGATCACAATTCCTCCTCAGTCACACACATTCACACTTTTTTAGGCCTTTGGTACTCTAGGGACTGCTGCCCAGGGACTTCAACCTATATTTCAACCACGCGCTGGTAATAAAAAATTGTTTCTCACCCTCGTCCCCATTAGGGATTTCCTTAATTGTCCCTCAACTTTCCCTTTTCTCTGGTCCATAATGTAGCAGTTAGCAAAACTGCCTTGCAAGTAGTGTGCAGAGAGTCCTGGGTTTGGTTCCAAGAGGAACTGCATATCCCTAATGGCATCGCCCATGTGGCAGCCTGTGTTATTTAAAAAGACTCACATTGTAAATTTCCTCATTGTGGGATAACTAGGTGATTTATTTATTTATTTTTTCTGGTCTTTTGATTATAGTCATTCATTTCAAGCATAGATTTACCAGTAACATGCATTAAACTCGCCACATGCAGCCATGAGCGATCTTTAATCGGCTCAACAAAATTTGCTGCACCTCTGCAGAGCGACCTAGATCTAAAAATCACTGTTTGTAGATTCAGTCTTCATTCCATAACCATTAGATACTGCAACAACTTGTTAGAAATGTCTGCTAGAAAAAGTCCATCTAACCTTATCTTAGATATCTTCTGGTACATTTTCATTCTTCTTCATTCATTTCATTCTTTTATCACCATAATCTGCTGCACATCCTTTCAAAAATCTCTCTGTTTAGCCAATCAACAAGCTTCTTCTATTTCTTGCCATTTTATTGAAGTATTTTGTAAACTTCCAGACATCCATTACTTATAGTACTGCTCACTTTGAATGAAGTTAAAATCAATTACAGGAACGAAGAAGATTTAAGTATTATATAATGGCGCCGTGTAGTGACTACTATTTAGCACTGTTTGAGAGAAGTTATTCACAACATTGTTTTATGTTTTTTGTCTCCTTTAAGGTCTTATTAAATATGTAGGTGTGATTAATTTACCTCACGACAGCCTGACTATTAACACTGTTGTGTAGAAACGTTTATATCCAGGGCGTTGGGTCTCCAGGCTTGACTTTTGACACGTCTGTATTAACGGCCGGCATTGGAGAAGCCAAAGGTCAAGTTGATCTCAGAATGCATGTTTCTGGCCACTTGGACATTAAATTCCTTTCAGGTCAGCATATACATGTCATGTACATGTAATGAGACTGAAAAAGGAATAATTGGAGGAAAGAATGAGGAATTGAACAAAACGCTTGGTTAGTTGTCAGCATTTTAGGCAGTTTATTTGAAAAACACATACAAAAAGATCATATACAAGACAACAAATAAAAAAGAGACAGAACAGTTTGGGTTAAGCTATGCAACTTTTTGCATCATCATTAGTAATAAATACAGTACAAAATCCACCCAGAGTGAATCTAAAGATTTTTCACAATATTTACTGATCATGTTATTCTTCATTATGATTTAGCTATTGCTTTTATATTATTGATACATACTTCTACTTTTCTAAAAAATACTCAAGATCATAAAACATTGCGCAGTTACAGCAAAACAGCAGTGTGTTGTACAAAGATGGCCACTTCCCTTTTTCACTGGCAGGTTAATAATTGAACATTGTTTTGTTTTTGTTTTGTTGTTTTTTTTCAGCAGCAAAGAAACATGTGAAATATTCAAGAAGGTACAGCATCATATTAAACACATCTACAGAGCTACTCCCACATACACATAGGAAAACCTGAGAAGGACATGCATTAAAAAGCTTGTGCTTTAAGTTCTACTGTTCATTCCGGTTCATCAGCTTGAGTTAATACTATGGCTACTGTCCAGTTCACTCTGGAGTTATGGGTTTACATTGT